GTGCTGTTTTGGGGAGTTGCTCTTTGGTCTAGCTACCTCCCCGCCCCTTTTCATTCAGAGAAGGCTTCTTTCCTTTCTGTATGTATTAGGGTTTCTAGATGGTTTTGTTTAAAAATATAAGGACACACCCACCAGTGGTTGGGCTGGTGGGGAGGGGATGCAGGGCAGAGGAAGGCTGGGGCTGCTTTGGTGGGACTCAGTGGGCATGAGGATTCCTCTTACCTACTTGTCAGTCAGAGTTTCCCAGGGAAACAGCCAACCGGGTGTGGAGGGAGAGATCTACATCTGAGTCTGGTTTTTTTCTTCCTGTGTAAGGAGATTTATTTTAAGGAGTTGGCACACATCACTGTAAGGCCTGGCGAGTCCAACATCCGCAGGGCAGGCTTTTGGGTGGCTGTGCGGGAAAGAGCTGTTGCTGCAACTTGGGTCAAGGGCAGTGGGAAGCAGAATTTCTTCCCTGGGAGACCTCAGGGTATTTGTCTTATGGCCTTTGATGGATTAGATCAGCTTCACCTATATGATGGAATGTAATTTGTTTTACTCAAAGTGAACTGACTTCAGTGTAAATCTTATCTAACAAATACCTTTACAGACTCCGCTGGGCTGATGTCTGATGGAGTCTCTGGGAGCCATGGCCTTGCCAGGTTGAAACATGAAATAACCCTCGTATATGCTCAAGTGCTTTTCACGCCTGAGTGCTATGTGAGTGTAATAGAGACCTGTATGGGGGCACACTGCTGTAGTCCTAGCACTTGGGAGGCTGAGCCAAGAAGATCACTATGATGAGTTCCAGGCCAGCCTGGGCCACAAGGAGAGACACTGTCTCAAACAGCAACAACACAGAACCTTTATGTTCTTTTATGCTTTCATATTTGGAATGTGAAAAGTATTAGAGGTGATGCATGGATAAAGACCAAAGGATTTGGGGTGTTTCCTAGCAAGGCCTGAAGAGGGGCTTTGGGAATACACAGGGCTCAGATTTGTGGGGCTGCAAAAGGCTTATCTCCACATCAGCAGATAAAAGCAGCCTTTTGTTGAAGATATTAGAAAAGATAACTGGTGTCTGTGCCAAGCATAAGCAAATTTTTATTTCTTGTCATCATTCCTTAAGTAATACAATGCAACACCTATTTACATAGCATCTTCATTATATTAGGTATTACAAGTGGTCTAAAGATGATTTCAAGTAGTGGTCTTTGTCTTAGTTACTTTTCTCTCATTACAGAGACAAAACACCCCACACCCAAAGTAAAAGAGGGAAAGATTTATTAAGCTCACAGTTCGTAGAGGTTTCAGCCCATAATCAGCTGGCTCCAAGGCAGTCTCGCTTAGCAGAGGGGCCATGCAGAAGAGAACCAATTCATGGCAAGCAGAAAACAGCAAAAGCTAGCAAGGAAGAGGAAAGACAAGCCTCTTTCTTTCCCTTAGGTTATATCCAGGCCACTGGGATTGGGGCAGAGCCAAGCCTGTCAGCGGCTGATTAGCACCCATTCATCCATCATCCTAGCACCCCAGATCCTAGCATTGCACCATGAGTCAGTCACAATCTAGAGTCAACCACCTTTGAAAACGCTCTACCTGACTTTATGAAGCTTTGAGGGGACATCTGGACACAAACCACCACAGTCTCCAACCTTTTTTTTTTTTTTTTTAACCAGGAGCCAGTTTCATGGAGAAAAGTCGTCTATTTTCTCATGGATTGGGAAGGGAAAAGAATATTTTTTTCTTTGTATATATTTTTTAATATACTGTGATACACCATAATTACATTCCCCAGCGCTAGCATCACTGCCTCAGCCCCACCTCATTAGGATCTCATAAGGAGCAACCTCGGACCTGTGTATGCCTGGTTCATGGATGAGAATCTAATGTGACCACTGGTCTGACAGCAGGAAGAGGGAGGCAGCAACGTGGGTGACAAGAAGTGCTAAATGCAGATAGAACCTCTTTCACTCTTTGTTTGTTCCTGCTGTGTAGCCCAGGAGCAGTGGTGGAGGTTGCTGGGGACTTTTCTTTTTTCTCTTTTTTGCCTGAAAATAATTTATTTCACCTTTATGCTCTAGTTGGCAAAAATATTTGGCTGAGTGCTTTCAACATGTGACTAAATTGTCTTCGGTTTTTTAAAGGTTTCAAAAATTTGTTGTTGATTCAATAGTACTGATCACAGAAAAAAATTAAGATTCCTAATTATATTCCACTGTTCAGACAATGGTTACTTTTAAACTTCATTCAGTATTGTCTTGACCATGATTAAAGAGGGATCATCTTGCGACCTCCCAGAGGGTGAATGTGCCACAGCTCATGGGCAGCTCCTTATAGTCCTAGCTTGGTACTCTGCCAGTGTCTCCTCTTAGAGTGGGACCTGATTTTATTATGAGTATTCATCTGAATCCACCAAGGAATGGGAGAATTCTGCTTTCGCTTTTTGGCCAGGAACCATTTGATTCTGAAAGTCTTGTGAGAAGACATGGTCAGGGTATAGGAGGTGAGAGCTCACACTCGATGGTGGACTAAACAGAAGAGTGCCTCAGGTTTTACTGTTCTGTCGAGCAGTCTGCTACTAGCATAACTGCTGATCCTTTGAGAGAAATGTGTCTCTGTTCTCTGCTTTTTTTTTTTTTTTTCTTTTTTGCATTTGAGTTTTCTTTATTTTTTTGGTAACTTTTTATTTATTTATTTAT